ACAATCATTAACTATTACCAAGCCACCTCTTTCTAAAGAAATTAGACAGTCCATAAGTTATTCCTGCCTTAACTCAAAAGGAGACCTCCACACTCCTGTGACAAAACAGAACTCTACACCAAAGCTTATCCATGAGGCAAGTGCATTTCCGGTATTTCTGTCACAAAAAAGAGAACAGAGGATGGAAACAGAGAAGGACAATCGAAGTAACAGAGGTCTTCCCATCTAGGGGAGATTAAGCAGGGTTTGGTGGGGGGGGGAATATCTAAATATAACAATATTTAAAAAGTCAATTACATCATTAATAATATGAAATCAATTTTACACAACACCCAGTTAAGCAACCTTCTAAGCCATGTACCAGCTTAAAGAAAAGTATACCAGAATGGAAGACCACACATTTATTGTTTCTGAATCTCTCCCCTTGAGCATTAACTGCTGTCCACACAGCAAATAAGAAGAGAAGTCCATGCAACATGCTTCACATGTTGCAAGGCTTTCTTAGTATTACATCAAGTAACCAAGGCACAGCCAATGCAAGAACCCTCAGTTTAAGTAATTTTCACCCTCTTTCAGTATGAGCATTCTGACCTGGCATACCAGGAATCACTTCAATCCCTTTTCAAACTTGCTCTACAGCTTCAGTCAACTGAAATCTCATTTCCCTGACTGCAAGACAGGAAAAACACGTGTTCATTTTTGTAAATATTAAGATCTGTTGTACTTTTTTATCTATAGAAGTTCAAGGCATCATGAATTTTGTTGAGTGCTATAAAAGCGTCTATAAATAAAGTATTTGTGGGATGCTGCTGCTTGTGTTGTCCCTGTTCCTTGAATAGCAGACGGTTTCTAGTCTTTACAATCTGCCATTTGCATTAAATTCATTTGCATCAAATGCATATGCATCAAATGCATTTTGAGAAACAAAAAGCTGAACCCAACCAGCATAATTCCAAACCTACTCATAGTCTAGAAGAGGATTTCTAAAAAGCCCTGTTAAAACGTATGTGCAAGGAAACAGAAGAAAACCTTCTTTAAAGAATAAAGAAATGTAAAAATGTATTAGAGTGTGCTCCAGATTATTTCTATATTTACTAATCTTCACTATGTTAACAAATAGCTTCCTTTATGCTCATATAAGCCCCAGCTAACATACATCATGATTACAGCCAGCCACGTTAGAATGCAAAGTCTACATTACTATTTGTGTGCAATTACTCTATTAATTAAGTTAATGAGTCAAGCACTGAGGTGTTCAGAATTGTATGGAGACTAATGTCCACTGGGAATTACAAACGTACTACATGTGCCAGCCACATTCCCAGTTCCTTTCCCATTCTATCCCTATTCTCATATGATTAAGTATCACAGACAAGTAAACTGTACTGGTCACTGGGAATTCTACCCAGAAGGACAAAAGAAACAGTGGATGAACACTGAAACATATTCTCCTATTGAGACTCATCTCTCTCACATTTTAAGTTCAAAAAATAAAAAGCCAGATCCGCAAACACAGAAAGAAATGTCAAACAAACCCACATATACACTTTCAGCTAACATTTAAAGTTCTTTGTTTTTTAACTATGGGAGCTTTATACTCTATTCTGGAGCACCAAGAAGGAATAAGAAAATCAGTCTTGGTCTCAGCAACTTCTCATTCAGAAGCTTGAGAAAATAAGTAGTCAACAAATATCTAGCAAAGATGCTGATAAGGATGATCCTTATAACTGCACAGGAATTAAAATTATGGTCAAGAAGTGACACTCTTTCTAACATCACAGCAATATACTGTAAAGACAGAACATATGACAATATGTTATTATAAACATCTACACTGATATATTTCCCATTTCATTCTATGAGCTTCCATAGTAGGTAAGATCCCTTCTAGCACCGAGGTTCCCTCCACCAAAACTCAATCACTCTTACTGAAATTTCCCAAAATGCTTGTACCCATAGTTTACAAGTTTTAATAATCTTATTACTTTATGACAGTAGCACAAATCTTTCTCCTCAACACACAAATGAGAACTCACTGAAATGCATCAGAAAGCATATAATAAATATTCCCACCCACCTATCCCTAACAGTCATTTCTGAGCGGGAAAAACAGGAAAGCTGGATGAGTATTTTGTTCTCAGACATTATCTGTTGGCATCAAGACATGCAGTTTAGAGGTTGAAATACATAAGCTTTTCAGTACAGCATTTTACATTCAAGCTAATATGAACATTTGAAAGAAAATGTCAAGAAATCCACCTGAACAGTGGATTCCAAATGCAGAAGAACTACTAATTCTGAGTTTCTGGATTACTATGGGAAAGGAAGTGAATAATGATTTAATCAACCCCTTTCCAGTTGCTGTGCCTTGCTGGTGGACAAAACAGAGAGCAACGCAGAAGGAAAAAAATCAGCATCTACAACAGAATAATCAGTCAAAAATGGATCACTCCATTGTATACCTATAAAAAGAAACCACACAACAAAACAGCTGGCAGCCTGTGATTAAGCCTAAGGTCTCCTGACAGTATAACAGGCTACTGACACTTAACTGACATGCCAACATCGACAGTTTGAGAGAAGGGACCTCTGGGAATTACAGAGAATGATAAAAACTACAGTGAGCAACTGGAAGACAAGCCCAAACCCTCACAATAACACTAGAAAATAAGACAGATGCACATCTCATGACCAAAAAAGGAAACAGATGAGCATTTAAGATTGTAGCAAGCAAATATTTATTTACTCTAAATAAAATTGACTTAAAAGCTTCTTCTCTTATCCTGTCAAATATCAAGGCAGTTGTTCCACAACCATTTTCCCTCAAAACCACCTATCACATCAAAATTATAACAATCTAGAAAAACTTAAAGCACTCTTTAAAAGTCATGACAAATTAGCATGGAAAAACTCTACATATTTTAATAATATTTACCTCATGGTCTTGGTTATCTTGTCCATCTTTGCCACTTTTTCCACTCTTGACTGATTTTGTAGGTTCCTTAAAAAAAAAAAAAAAAGTTTGCGGTCTCAGTTTTTCTGAAAAGGAGATCTAGACAGATTTTCAAGTCAAGAAATCAGGTTTATTTAGACACTCACTAAAAGTAATAAAATCGACAGAATGAAAATGATACTGTTTTATTGGAAGATCTTAATACTGAACTATCAGTCTTCACAAAGCTGCCTTAAACATTTTTATCTGTAGAAAGGCTTTGGAGTTTTATTTATGCCTCAAAATTCACCTATAAAGATAAGCTTTCACACAGGTGAGCAGGCAGAGACAAAGAATGCAAGTGATTTGAACGATGTCTATGACCTTGCTCTCTTCGGTTTATAGCTTCAGATATATTTATATTTAGTTTCGCTTTGAAACCAGCATGAGTATAGTACACATTTTACACTTCATTATTTTGTCTGTTCTAGGGACTAGAAAGTCTCGTACTAGAAGTAGGCCCACAACTCAATTTTCTCCCTCACAGCATCCTACTTAACTTGCATCCTTCACTCGCAGCATACTTTTGACATTCGTTACTCTCAGAAAAGTGAAGGAAAGTTTCAATGTTTTTTAACGTCAAAGGTGCCAAGGATATTGGAAAAAAAATTAAAGCGAACAAACCCCCAGAAACCACAACACCCAATTTCCCCACATCTCATTTTAAAGCCATGTTGACAAACTAAAAGACAAACAGGATCCACCAAACAGGAGCGGTCGGGAGGGCCGGCAGCTGGATGAGGCAGACAGCACACTTCGCTGTCTCTGACTTCCACTCACATGGCTAATTGCCTCTCACAAAACAGAGTGCGATCCAGCTAACTTCCTGCTGGATTTACAAGTTTTCTGCCATCATTACTTGTGCAAGCCCCTCTCGTGGCCGCCAGACAAATCCCTCCCGGGAGCGTCGGTGGAGCCTGAGGCGAAGTGGGGCCAAAGATCCTCTCCTATTGTCAGGAAAAGGAGCCGAAAGACTCCCGAGAGGCGATTAGCGCTCCCGGGACACTTAAGGAGATCCCCCAAGCACAACTCCCACCGCAGCCTGAGCTACGCAGCAGCCAAACTTCCCGGGACGGGGCGCGGGCGAGCAGCCGTGGGGAAAGACCCCCCACGCAGCTCTGCCTGGAAAACACTCCTCCCCGCTCCCCAGCACCCCCGGGCCCACCCCAGCGAGACCTCCTCTCCCCACTCAGCCTCCGCCAGCCGCGGCTGAGCAGGACACGTTTCTCATCCCCTCCCTCCCGCACTCCCCCGCACGCCGAACCCGCGGCCGCCCCCACCGAGGCGACATCGGGACCCCGCCTCGGCACCCCCGGCCTAGGCCCCGCCGGGAGCTGCCCCTTCCCCAGCGCCCGGCTCTGGGAGGAAGGCGGGGGCCGGCACACAGCGGTGAGGGAGGAGGGTACCCCTCGCCTGGCTCTGCCGCGCACCGGGGAGCGGGAGCCGCGCTCCGCTCGCCTCTGCCGCCCCCCGCCCCAGGCCCCTCCTCCTCTTCCCCGCGGGGCCTGCGCCCCACAGCCTCTCCGCGGGGCTCGCCCCCCCCCCCCTTCCTCCCCGCCGCGACCCCCCGCCCCGACTC